ACATTAGCTCTTGATTAAACTTCACTGTTCACGTCCTGTGGTCAATCAAAACAAAATGATTTCAAATATAGTATATTTGAGAGCCTCTCAAACACCACAACGTGGTCTGTGCTGAGCGTTGCTGACCTTCGTTGCTGGAGAAACCTGATTACATCAAAATAAACATATGTGGCAATGCCCTCCTGTGAAAGAGCGTCACGTTGTTGCTTCAAACAGAACATGGAATTGAAAACATGTGCAGCTCTTCAAGTGATTTGATTTTGTGATACGTGGAGCAAAACAAGTTAAGAGACATGCTTATGTAAAGTAATAAATGAACAGCGTATACCACAGTTCAATTTCCATGACTCTCTTTCTAGGGAACACACATGTGCCAGTATTTTACTCTCAACAGGCAAAAACCGAGTGTTCCACATTCGCCATGATGGCTTCTGGTGGCGCTGACTGACACTCCCATGTTTCAATGCATATACAATATACCCTATGAAGTGAATTGAGGCATAACCACCGTCATGGCTCAGTTGGTAAACCATTGGACACATTACTCGAAGGTTGCAGGTGCTGTCCTTTTCGTCAACCTTTCTTTCTTGACATTTACATTACAGTTACAAAGTCTACTTTCATTACAATGGACCGTCATAATGGGGCGGGGCCATGCGACTGTTATTTCGATTTTGCTCAGCAGTATGGGGCAGGCTAGTTCTGCTGATGCATGCTGAATGTTTTCGACAGCTTGGTTACGAAAGACTTCTATCACCATCAGCGGTTGTTAACAAAATAAAAAATTGCAGTGCAAGTTCAAAATCAGTAAGTGCGGAGTAGGTGCAGGGACGTTGTGCGGCCCCTGCACTGCATCAAAGCTTAACCTGATACTAAAGATTTTCTAGCAGGCTTTTTCAGCCACTTCTCGTGATAATCTTGGAGTAAATTATTTATTTTTTGCGAACGGGAAGCCATACTTGCTTAAATTGGGCTGCCTCTTAGCTGTCGGGAGCTGTTGCGTGTAGTGTCAACAGCACTCTGGACGGCCCTAAGTTGGTCCGAGAGTTCTGGACTGAGCACAACAAGTCACTTCTCACATTAGTAATTTAATTTGACAGTGGAACTTACCTGCTTTGAGCACCAGAAGGTCAAGTCTTTAGTGAGTGACGAACGTCTAGTGCAAAACAGAAACAAAAACTTTTTATCATAGAATCTCGATGATACAATTACAGTTGATGCGAGTTTCGCGATGTTACGAATCTGAAGGTTGCTTCAGGTGGACTACATTATACAAAATACGGCGGGAGTAAGTATTATATGAACGGTTTCCCCAGCCACCGTGGATGATATGAACGCGTGATTGGTACGTGTGGATGATACGGACGCGTGAACGGCGCAATGCTGTTTTTTTGTGGTTTCATGCTTGGCTTCGAAGAGATCGAACGCGGCAGAGGACTCGCTGGGATTTCCGTCGCTTCGCCACCTACATGGTCGGAAAACCACGCCGCAAGGCCAACTTGAAAAAATTACGTTTGGCGCTGGTCTGTCTTCTCTCCTGCTCTTCCTGCTTCACGTTATGTTTTTTGCCCCTCAGTCTTCTGCACCAAGTATGCACCAACTAGCTCAAAAACAAGTCCTTTTGGTGAAAAAATCAGTCTGAGAACAATTTTTTCACCACATGATAGCAGGTCACGTTTTTGTTTTACGGCTTTAGTTACACCGACTGCACTAGTTCGCAAACCATGTGATGTAAAGAATGAGCCGCAAAGTCAACATGGCGGCGAAGGCGTCAGCAATGGCTCGTGTCGGGCGCAATTGCGAACTACCAGCGCAGCACGACAAAGCTCACAACCTTGACAAGGACGTGTTCATTGAGAGCCTGGTTCAGATTATGATCACTGCAAACACCAGAAGTAGAAGGTGCAGCAGCAGCGAGTAGGCATGCCCTAGCGTGTCTCGCTACTGCACTGCCGACTGAATCCATCGCTGCTGCTGTCGTTGGGTCCGCTCGTATCGCTTCTGCAGGTGTATCTGCTGAAATAACACTTGTACAGGTGTACACTGTTTCTTTTCAGTGCTTTACATGCATAACTAGAACTCGGTACAAATTTTAATGCTCAGGAAACTGGCAAAATGGAATAAATTGTCAAGTGGCGAAGGTGGCGGCTGTGGCGTGTATACGAGGGGCATAACGAATGTGATCATTTTAAACGGATGCAGACGTGGTTTTGCGAAGCTGTGGCATTTGTTTTCGCTCGAATTCTCTTGTGTGAATTCTCCAGGACTACTTTTTTTGTTTGGACTTCATGGCGAGTTTGTTTCGTGAAGCGAGTGAATTTTCAACAAGTTTTGCTGATTTCCCTCCCTTTGATGCCAAGTGTGAGCACAGCATGGATGAGGAAACTGCGGCGCTTTATTGAGAGACGGTGAAAGGAATAAAGATTAAAAGAACATCATGGACTTTTTTTGGTCTAGTGGCTAAAGTACTCAGCTGCTGACCCGCAGGTCACGGGATCGAATCCCAAATGCGGCGGCTGCATTTTCGATGGAGGCGGAAGTGTTGTAGGCCCGTGTGCTCAGATTTGGGTGCACGTTAAAGAACCCCAGGTGGTTGAAATTTCTGGAGCCCTCCACTACAACGTCTCATAATCATATGGTGGTTTTGGGACGTTAACCCCACATATCAATCAAAACTTTTTTTCAGCAAGAAGTAGTTGGCCCTAATAAACTTCTTGTTTATTAGGGCCAACTGGCGTAAATAAACGATCGGCTTTAACTTGTTTTTGTTCATATAATTCGGGATGATACGAATATTTTTGCGTGCTCCCAAATCCCATTGAGGTTCAACCTTTTATCTACACTTACCTCAAAAAAAAAAAGTTGTGATAATAGTTTGGTGAACAGCGTTGCGCAATAGGTACTGCTCATATGTTTAATTCACTGTGCTGCTCAATACTCATCCAACTTATTGATGTCTTCAGTGAAAGTAAAGTTGTAGATATACAACACATGGTCTGTTCCCAAATTGAGCAGCAGGGCTGTTTTGTGCTCTCATCCTGAGGCTTTTCTCCTCGAGCCAAGGCTGCTAGGAAAAGCACAATTTTTTTGCCTAAAAAGCTTCTATTGTTTGTCAATGTTGCCACTTAGGCATAACAGCTCTGAAGGTTTTACGAATTCCTTCATGAATAGATGGGGTTGGGCTGCACTTTTGACACCTTGTTTGGTGGTGTTCGAGCGAAAAATACAATCGAGCCAAGTTTCACTCAATAAAGAACACGGTTGCTTTATTTGCACAGCTATTTATACATCTTAGGTAGAAGAGGGAACAGGTTCAAGAGAGTCTTTCGAGGGCGAGTTTGCTTTTCGCATCATCAGTGAGCATGTGCAAGAGCTATGAGTTGAAAGCATGTTAACATGAGGCACTTGACTTTATCTTGCACAACACAAAAGGTTACCCTGGCATCATAAAAAGAAAGAAACGTTTATGATTGTTTCTTTTGGCCTTCCAGAATACTTGGATGAATCTGTATTATTTCTCTCCCTTGGATGCTCTTGACCAGTTGGTATAATTGCAATGTTTATTAGTCATGTTGGGGCTCAGGGACAATTTACCACTATCTGTTGGGATGTTAAACCCCACATATCAATCAATTTACCACTATCTTTTTTTCTGGCTACATTTTGATGAGTTCATTGCTGTCAGTGCGGCCTGTTCTGAACTGGCCACTAGCTTTTTGGCTGTCAGTTCAAATATTATGTACGAATTTTTGTATTTGTATCAAAGGAGTAGTGACATCAAATTTCAAGATCGAGATGTGCCCATCATTAGATAGCTTGGTATGCATAGGTCTTCTTGGCCAAATTTGAATTGGCATCCGGCGCGTGGAAGTTATTTGAATTCTATGTCAAACAGCACAGAATAGGTAGGGAGAAAAAGCGGAAAAAAGACTGCCCTGTGACATCGACACTAGTGCTACGTTTTCGGTGTGATACACTCCACAAATACCATCCTGAGTGACGATACGCTAGTAACAATGATGTAGACGGTCTGGGTGTATTTGGAGCCGACTCCCGGCCATGCTCTCACTAATGGCTCTCCTTGCTATGTTGAAGCGTGCTTGCGATTTATCGCGTCGCATGGACTGGTTCGACATGTGCTCCACAGCGTGAGTATGATAATTCAGAGTGACAATACGTGCCAGAATGTCAGGAAACCGCTGCGCATTGAGAACCTGCAGATCGAGGCGCGTAAAAAAAAAAAAAATTGTGGCGTTTCATGCCTTTCCAAGCCACGAACCTCTACGCAGCCAGTGGGTTGACTTCGCACGCGGCGATGGACAGAGGGACTGGATGCCCAAGAAAAACAGCCGCATTTTGCTTGCTTCACTTTGCGCCGAGCTGCTACAGGGTGAATCCTGTGTTGGCGAACGAGTTGGGTTTCACTGGCAGTATGAGGCCTCTTCTTGAGGCCAGGGCTAAAGGGATAGGGGAAGGACGAGTTGGCGTTACTTAACCTAGCCGGCGGACAATGCATGAAGGGGCTTTAGTCTACATCATCAGAGACACAGCTGGACTGACTGAACGTGCGCTCCTAGCAGACAAAATGCCAGTGTGAGTGACGTCACCATTTTTTTTGTGAAAGCAGCATCAGCTGTGCAGCAGCCTCGACGTGACCGCGAGGTAGCACTGACAGCTCTACAATTTGGCCGGCTTTCGGCCCATTTTGTACTACGTTCGATAGCATATATATATAATCAATATTACAGATATTCATTCATACCTCATATGCGTTTTAGATCGCAAATCGCTACTTGGTGGTCGATAGCTACTCCTGATGCACAAATTTCGACATGAGTAAATTTGATGTCAGTGCTCCTTTAACAGTCTATTGGTTGATTTATGGATGGAATAAAGGTATTTATTAATGCATGTTGCACGAATAAGTGCTTTCCAAACAGTCTGATGTGCATGGCTCTAACTTGGTAATATTTCTCACAGTTCTTTCTCTGTGTTTTCAGCTGCCCACAACAGCAGTGATGAAGAGGATCAGCAGGTATTCATGTTGCTTGTTCTGTTTTTGCTGTCGGGTTGAACCAGTACTGAACCAAGTATCTGTTATATTCAGCTGAATTTTAAAGGCAGGGTTGGCGTGGCGGGGAAAAATCTGGAATGTTTTGGCTACTCGGTAAAGTAAAGCTGCATAATACGCCAAGAAAGTGAGACAGACAGACAGGACAAGTGCTAGGTTTCGTGGTCGAGTGAAGAGCACAAGAGTGCTGGTATTAATGGTAACTGCTTAATAGATGAAGTGTAAACACGCACTCGCCCGGCTACATGTTAGCGTGACAGGCGTAGTTCAGGCGGGTGTTGTTGTTTGCACATATTCCCATGTGGCTCCGATCACAGCACGTAGCACGAGCTCCTCGGGGTTGTGCCCACCACGACAAATACTAACTGAATCAGTCAGAATCTTGTTTTAAGGGGGCACGAGGGTCTTAAAAAATATTTTTTGTTTATTATTCTACTTTCATGAAAAATACCATGCATGTGTATCATTGAATAGAGCTTTACAATCTGCCCCGCCGCGGTGGTCTAGTGGCTAATGTACTCAGCTGCTGACCCGCAGGTCGCGGGTTCAAATCCCAACTGCGGCGGCTGCATTTCCGATGGAGGCGGAAATGTTGTAGGCCCATGTGCTCAGATTTGGGTGCACGTTAAAGAACCCCAGGTGGTCGAAATTTCCGGGGCCCTCCACTATGGTGTCTCTCATAATCATATGGTGGTTGTTTTAAGACGTTAAACCCCACATACCAACCAGAGCTTTACAATCTGCTAACAGATCTCAAATATCTCATTTAGAATGTAATGACAAATTACCACATGTTAATTGGGTAATATCGTACGAATTGTTATGGTATCTCGCAATCAAAAAAGTTAGTTTTCGAAACTACATGCTTCCTATAAAAGATTCATCCCACAGGCTAAAGCAAGCTACACTCAAATCTCCTTATAACGTAACGGGATATAACGAATAATAGATATAGCGAAAGAAAAGAAATGACCCTTCAAAGGTCTATTGTGAACCGTGCATTTTAAACCTTGTTGTAACGAAGTAAAATTGACTGGTAAATGGATATAACGAACTCAGTCTATCGAAAAAAAAAAAAAAAAAACGACCGTAGTGTGTTAAGTCTATAGTTTTCTGCGGAGTTTGACGCTCGTTCAGCGCGGCTCTTTCAAAACTCCCGCACCGACCTTACAGTCACGCCACATGCGGCCGAGCGAGCCCTCCTCCTCACACAGCCAGCAGAGAGGATTGAGGAAGTGCTCAGCGGGTCACATGACCGAGAAGCGGCGCCGCGGTGCAATCCGATTTCCCTCTCACTTATAAGAACACACGATGGGGAAGCTTCAGAAGACTTACATTTATTCACAAATCAGAGGACATTCGTCAATAATTGAAATAATCGATGATGCCCGTCTGCACACCTTTGCTTTGCAGGGGGTAATAAGTTTCGCAGATAGTTTGCAAAGCATAGTAGCACGCGGCTAAGTCCAGAGCCAACATTCTCTAAAGACAACAGCAACGACTGCGTCTCCGCTGCTGCCCTCTGCACCGAGAAAGGAAGACTCTCTGCGACAGCTTTTTTTTTTTTTTTACCTCTCTGCGCGCGGCCTTGAAAGGAGAAGGGTCTCTACGTGCAGAGACGGAAAAGGGAGAAGCGTGGCACAGGCGCGTCCCAGATTGGCATTTGAGAGAGAGCCAACAATCCGCCACAGTCTTTTCTTTCCTTTTTTTTTCCCTTCTTCATGCGCAGCGTTGAGAGGTGCTGCCGCAGGATTGGGCATGGTGCTGAGAGCATTTTTGGAGCGCGGTATGTTCGAATTGACCATCACAAGTGCTTGTGCGTTCGAAATACAAAGATTTTTTTGCCCATTGGAATACACATAGTTTTGACGGGACCGCAGCAAGAGTTCGAATGAACCAGAAGTTCGAATGAATGAGATTCGAGTGTGTTTATTTTTCGTCGCACGCGTGGTCGCATAGCAGTACACCGGGCCGCGAGGCGGTTTTCTTCTTTGCATGCTTATAGGTGTGTGCCCATCTTAGCATACATTGCCACAAACTGTTATCGATGTAATGAAGTAATGGATATAACGAAATAATTGTGGCTCTCCTTCAACTTCATTCTAACGAAGTTTGAGTGTAGGTAATAAAAGCATGTAGTTACTCAATTCCGCTGTCAAATTCTGTTGAATTCCTGCTCGTACACCGCAGTTTCCGAGTTGCTGCTGTAATTATCTGATGAATCATTGGTGCACAAAGTGGAGCTTTCCTAATCGGAGCTGTTGTTGTCGAGTAGTGGAAGCAGTGTTGCTTGATTTGCAGAGTCGTCTATGTCTGCCATTACAACCAAAACTCTCGTCTACCGGCAATGCCCCCGGCAAGTGAGCCACGTCAAGTTTTCGTTCACTCCGCTGATTTTGGTGGAGTAACGTACTGCATGGTAGACAAAGAAAGTGCTTAACACCGCAAACGACAGGAGGGGGATAGAAGAGACGAGAACAGAGTGCTCTGTTCTCCTCTTCTATCCCCTCCTGTCGTTTGCGCTGTTAAGCACTTTCTTCGTCTACCATGCAGCACCAACCAGCCCAATCAAGCACCAATGCAAAAAATGGCAAATGGTGTTGAACCCAAGCAAAACAGTTTTTATGCCGATTACAAGAAAAACCAAGCCTCTGTTATTTCGTTACGTCATAAATGACGAACCACTCTGCCGTGCGTCAGAATATAAATACCTGGGTGTTTACGTCACAGATAGCTTGAACTGGAACCGCCATATAGATTATATCTGTGATAAATCGCAAAAAAAGCTTTGGATGCTTCATCGGAGGCTTGGTGACGCGACACCTGAAGTAAAACTCAAAGCATATAAAACCACAGTACTTCCGTTGCTGGAATATGCATGCCCGATATGGAAGCCTTATACGCAAAATAATATCGCTACATGTGAACAGGTTCAAAATGGAGCCTTAAGATTTATTTTTAATTCCTACCGTAGAACGCAGTCCGTAACAAGTCTAAGAACTAGGGCTCATATTCTTACATTGCACGAAAGAATGGATATTAACAGCATGAAATTCTTTTTTCAGATATTCCATGGTATCTACAAAACAGAGATAACAAAAATTTTCACTCTAGACACGTCGCATTCGCGGACAAAGCACACCAAACACATTAAACCTCTGAAGCATAACACAAAATCTTTCAAGAATTCTTTTATTGTATCCGCTATTGACACATGGAATAAGTTACGGAATGACGTTGTACTGTGTAACAATGTTAGATTTCGAATGTGCGTTTCAGATGTTGAACTGAGCTGTGATAAGGCACTCACTTGCTCGCCTGTGTTCTGCCGTGTTATGCTGCAGGGTGTGCATTGAATGTTGGATTTTTATTTATTTTTTTTGCATTGCTTTTGCTTTCATTGTGTCAAATTGTAAGATGTTCCACTTTTGCGTTGACTTTTGAAATTTGTGTGCCCAGATGAGCAACTCCTGCTTTGGCATGTATGCTAACAGTATGAATAAAATAAAAAAAATAAAAAAACTAGGTCGCACGACACGGCGATACTGGAAGAACTATGCATCCGCACAAAATTGAGAAGGCCTTCTTCAATAGCAGGACACTTGTATTAACAAGCACGCATTCTTCTGCTTTCTCGCGTACCGATCGCACCGTTCATCACGTTAAAGTGCGTTCCCTTGAAGTGTTTTGCGGCAGCACATTTCCCGTTTTCTTCGACGAAATTTAGAAACATTGAGCTTCAATTTCGCCGTATATATAATTACTGTAGCACATCACAAGGGAAGGACCAAACGTGTTGGCCGGATGGCAAAACCTAAACGTCTGAAATTGACCATGCGTGCATTACAGCGCAAACGCTGACGAGGGGAACAGTTGGCGCGGCAGGCCCTCGCACGCCTCAGATACAGAAAGACGTTCACGCGGTGGTAGAGATTCGGAAATACGGGGAACCAAACGCTAGAGAAGTTCCGGCGACCCGTCAACAGGTTTGTGTTCGGGTGTGGTATTCTAGGGACCCTAGTACGGGGGAACTCGTCGAAAGAAGGAACTTTGCACTTGTAGCTTGTTTGATTGCGCTTTCTGCTCGGCGCGATGCGCATCCGGCCAAAACATCGAAAGGTCCAAAGGTGTGTATGCCGGCGAGCTGGCTCGGGAAAGTCGGGAAGCGCGAAATATGCGAGTAGATATTTTTTTTTCTTGAAAAGCTGGCAAAATTTTAGGGGTGCACAAATTATGAGCGTAAATACGGTAAATAGCTTTACAGAGTGACTCCCTCTCTCAATTCAGTCTGAATTTCTCACTGGAATGCTTGACTTCCATCCTCGCTCTGTTATTCCAACACATTTGCTTCAACAGGAGCTGAAGAACTGGCCATTGGAATGCAACATCGGGCGATTGCACAACTTCAGAGCTCATTCAATAGAAAATCAAACTACATAAGAAAGAAAACTAGTTCTCATTTACAACAGATTGGGTAATGTATCTGTGAACAGCGTGGAATGTCATGAAAGCGACAAATCGAACCACCGATGACGGGCTATCAATGTTGATGGGCCGCTACCAATGCTGTGAATTTGGCAATTTATATTGCTCTTATAGCGTATGCCCTGTAAATGGAACTTTCATGTGTAAACGTTCATTCATTCTGTTTTTTTGCCAATGTATTTCATGAAATAATAGATGCTGTAGTTCTTTCGGCATAAAAGATATAGCTTAATGTATTTTTCCCTGCAATAAGAAGAGGTGAACTTGGGTGGATGACCTACTGAAGGCATTGCCGTAGTGCTGTGTCACACAAGAGGAGGGCTTCTCTGGTCTGTGTTAGAACTGCTGCAATGATTGCAATTTAATCCTTGTTGTGCAGCCATCACCCAAGAAGCGATGTATTATCTCGGACAGCAGCTCGGAGGAAGAGTTTCATCCAGGCCAAGATGACTTTGAAAGTGATTCTGACTCAATTAGCAGTGGTTTGGATGAGGACACAATTTCAGACCCGGCACCCGAGTCACCAGAACAAGTGAGTTACTCCTTTTCAAGGCCTACTGGAAGTGCACTAACATCATCTGTCTATACCACGTAGCAGAACATGTGCCAAATGCTTCTCATGGAAATGCTTAAATGTACTGATCTTCTTTTTCGGCTAAAACAGTGGTGGCCAAAAGTACAGTAGAGCAGCTTTTGTAGAGGGCCACTGCTTCGTTGCTGTTCAACTTCACAATTTCTGCAGGTTTATTTTGTATGTGATATGATAGAATCTTTTGAAGGTGAAAACTTCAGTGCAAACTAGAACAGGCTGCAAAGAGATGCAACAAGCGCAAGCACTGTGCTTGTTTCATCCTTTCTTTGTGGTCTGTTCTGGTGTGCGATGAAGTTTTTAGCATGAAAAAATTATGTACTAACTAGACCTAGATGAAGTTTCATTGATGCGGAAATTTCGTGCCAGCAATTCAGTAGCATGCTCTTCAGGGCATTTATTTTCAGTAGGTTCTCATCAAATTAGGTCACACTGAGTACAACCAAATTAATAATTGCAAAAGAAATGCAAGTAACTAACTGTTTTGCAAATAATAAGCCTTTAAAGTAGAGTGGCAGAGCAACCAATTCTCTGATTTCTTCGTAGTAGAAATTCATCAAGAACTCCTGAATTACTTCATCTTTAAAATAGCAGAACCATCTACAAACAATTGCAAAAGTTGACGACAATGAACAAAAAGCAGGCACAAAAACCTATCTGTGCATGCCCAGAAGACGATGCCTATCGCATAGTTGTCTGCATGAGAGATAACTTTTCTATAACTGATCGGATTTGTTGTTTATGGTTTGCTTATACGTGTGCTGCCGCTATTATCAGTGTGTTATTGAATGCATTTTCCCATTCTTGTACCTGTATAAAACTGCAGATCGTTGCATTTACACTCTTAACAGTGTAATAGAGAGAGATTAGATAGTGAAGAGTTTTTGTTTGGCAATCTCGATTGTTCCCTTTTTCTGTGGTTAACACTACAGCATGTCTGCCCTATGTGGCTGCCTGGGCTTGCGCAGATAAGATTGCATGCATATTTGCTTTTCTGACTGTGTGTGGCTTTTCAGAGGTTGGTGTTTGTGTTGCCTTCACTTCTCTTGTGTCCGTGTTTGCAAGTTAAGTTTAGATTTTTCTTTTGAATTCAGTGGAACAAATGTTTCAGTGATATGTCTGTCTGAGATGAGGTGAAGAAGAACAAAAATGTTTGATTTTCTTTGTGCATGGTGCATACCACGTAGCAAGAAATACAGGAAGGGAAACTTCGGGCCAGCGCTAGCGCGAGCGTGCACTGCAAAAATGTCACCCTGGGAGAGGAGGTTGGCGAACTGTTGTTTTCTGTCGCGGTCTCTGCTGGCGCCCGGGCGTCGTCTGCTGCATCTCACACTGGCTGCTCGCGCTACGTTGCCATGTGGCGCAAAAAAGAAAGAAAATGCTTTTAGTTAGAACTGTTTGCGTTAGAAAGGTAAAGCCCGATTAAAGCATCCTATTTCTAATATTCCTTATTATTCATATTAGGTATACAATGCTATTGTATTGAATGGAAGGAACAAACTGGCCCATTGAATCCAGATAGCAGACGATCTGATGATGCGGCGCTGCGGCTTCGCATTTTGTAAGTTTTTCGTTATAACAAAAGGCGACATTTTTTTTAGTTTAATAACATTCGCCATAAAAAATGGTGAACAGAGCATGTCATGCACAACTGGTGTTCGTTATAGAAATTTAATCACATTTCTTTCATCACCTTTCAACAGACGTGAATTGACGAAGTAAGGTATGTGCTGGCTTTGAGAAACAGCACGTCGTAAGTTCGGAAGTTCCTGCGCTGCAGATTCGTTACATACGTTGACTCTGTAAGAGGTCGCCGATAATCGACACGGGGCGCCAATGTTTTGTCCCGAACTGCAACAGTGGATATAAGTCCCGCGCTGAAAAAGTTTGCACCTTCAAAGCTCGAGCTGACCCTGAACGCTTGCAGGAAGGGGTAAGAGTTATAGGCCGGGTGAATCGCGATCTCACAACATTCGCGATCTACCGTACATCTGTGAGAAGCATTTCCCCAGTGAAATGTTGAGCAGGCGCTAATGCTACGCTGAGCTTGAAGGTGCGGTCATTCTCGACCATTTGAAGAAGCCAACGTTGGTGCATGGGGCAGTTCTTTGCATTTTCCCAGAAGTTTCGCTGCACTTGCATTCAGCGAAAAAACCCAGAGTAAACCGGAATGTACTTCAAACTGCCGATGAAAGCAGCCCCAAAAGAGTGAAGGCGGATAGTGTGCATCAAAATTCAGTAGCCACCAGCAACCAGAGTAACAGCCTTCAAACAAATACGAACTTCAAGGTGAGCTCCATTGCCCAAGAGGGGTTCACGTCTGAGTGTTCGAGTACATTGCGCATGAACCCTCCTCCACACCTGAGCTACAATTCAACTACTTCTGATGATGAAGATGTGCCGATGCTGAAATTAGAGGCGGGAACTCCTGCCCCGACAGCAAACTGGCTCTAGCAGTTGTCCAGTGAACATCACATAGCAATGCCAAACCCTGCATGGAACCACCACTACGGAAGTGTTGATGGTGTCGAATGCTTTTCTTTTGTGCATATGATGAAAGCGTCAGAGTCGTCTGCCACATTCGTATTCAAAATCCTGGAATTGATGCCGTCCCACGAGGGCAGTGAGGGATATACAGCAACAAAATGGGTTCTGGGTTGCGAAGTGAGCCGTTTAGTAGTGGAAGTACCATGTGAAGCCCAGTGGACCAGAAATATTATTGGCATGCTTTGGGAATTTTATCACCAAGTCGTTTGTCGTGGAGATCCTGCGAGAAAAAAGTTTCCAGACATCCTGTCAGAATGTGCCTCTTGTGACCAGACAGGGGCCTGGAGGCACAACAGCTGCCTTGTTCTTCTGAATGGTTCACAGAGACAATGCTCACAATGCAAAACAATGGCCAACACGTTGCATATTCACAAGAAACGAAAAGAAAGCAAAAAAGGTAAGACATCTGTCAGGTCTTGTGTTAGCGGTCTCAGTATGCTATACAGGTCGATAGTAGAGGTAGTTAGGAAGCAACGAGCTGCGTTGTATCACAAGACAAAAAAATTTATGAAAAGAACTAAAATATTGAAAGCCTCGCTTGAAATGAGCATGGAGAAACTCAAATTCCTCGCAGACACGCAAGTTTTGGATCTTGCTAAAGAAGCCGGCTTTCCCGAGAACCCCTGCATGCTTTTGGCATAGTGTTTAGCAGCTGCAAAGGTCTCCGCGAAACGGGGAAGATGGTACACGGATGACTGGCTTCTCCTATGCCTACTTCTAAATATACGCACACCATCTGTCGGCAGATTTTTGAGAGAACAAAATATCTTGCCATTGCCCTGCGTGAAGACAATCAGAAAATACATTTCCAACGTAGGAATGAAGTGTGGCTTCGAAGATTTTTTCGTCGCCCTGAAAGAGAAACTGGGGCCCAAATCGAACTCCCAAAAGCACGGAATGCTGCATTTCGACGAGATGCAGGTTTGAGAACGGAAGTGTGTCAATTCCAAGACACTTATCTACGCCGGATTTGTGGAGCACGGTCAGGGAGTTGACTGTGCTAAAAGTAGTGCAAGTGGCCTGGCCAATCATGCGCTAGTCTTCATGTTTAATCCGTTTGAAGAGAGCTATACTCAACCAAGCGGCATGTTTCTGTCCTGTGGTTCAATGAAGAGATCAGTGCTAAGCCTGTTGGTGCTGCAGGCCTTCATACTTCTAGAGAAGGAAGGTGTGTTCGTCAATGGGATTGTTTGCGATGAAGCGAGCACAAACAGAAAGATGTGGACAAAACTCGGCATAAATGAAAAACTCGATTCAAGAAAGAACTCGTTTGAACACTCATTGAACGACTCAAGGAAGGTGTATGTCTTCTTGGACGTGCCACACCTCGTGAAGTGCGTTCATAACACGCTCCTGAAGCAGCGTTCTCTGAGAGTGAATGGTAAGTGGGTGCACTGTTCTTGCTATGTTGATGTCTACAAAAAGGATTGCATGAATGCAGAAGGCTTAAAGGTTGCCCTGAAGTCACATGTCACCATATACTATATCCATCACATATGGAGCTCATGCGTGTCAATCTGGCCACTCAATTATTCAGCTGATCGATGGCCTCCTCATTTAAATACTACACTGAAGTAAGTGTATTGCACACGAACACTACTGAAGGCACTATTGCGTTCATCCAGCAGATGAACGACGTCTTCGACGCAATGAACAGGCGTCATCCTTAAGAGGGTCTGCGTATGGGATGCAAAGATTATTAGAGTGCATCGCGAATTCCCTGAAGTTGCTCGACGACTGGTATCAGGAAGTTTGCTGTGGAGCTATTTCCAAAGGCATGTTTCTGGCTCTGTCAACTGCAGAAGGCCTTCGAGGCACCATGCTGTCGATGCTAGAACTATCGGAGAACCTGCTGAACCAGTGTGGATTTAAGTACGTCTTAACCGACAAAAGAAACCAAGATCTCTTAAAAGATTTTTCGGTAAAGCTCGACAGGCTGGCTGTGAAAACGACTATCTGAGTATGCCATCGTTCCTGCAGGGTGATTGGATGCTCACAGTGTACAGTTTGTTGAAAGCACCAAAGCTGGGAAACTGAGGTACGAGAGCACGAATATTTCTTCGTTTAGGGCTGTTTTTATGGCGAAAGACAGCGGCGAGTCACACCTCACAGAGTTGAAAGGGAAGCTGGATGGTTTTGTGGAAACTGATGAGTGGGAATGAGAAGACTACAAAGACCTCTTGAAAGAGAGTGAGAGTAGTATCGAAGTTGTGGATGCAGTTTTGTACTACGTCATTGGCTTCTTAACACGGAAACTGACAAAAATGTTTCCTTGTGAAAAATGCAGGCAGTCTCTGACTGTAGAATCTCTGACCATGAAAAAAGCCTCCATCATCATCTGCAAAATAAGAGGTGGCCTCATTCACCCCAACAAACGTTTGTTACAGATACTTTGCTGCGCAGAGGACTACTTTGTAAATCGTATAGAAGATCATGACATCTTCTGGGCTACAATCGACCATGTTTTGGATACCTTAAAATTCACGTTTCCCTGTGAATAATGCGCACGCAAAAATCCTTTTCTACTACATCAGCATATGAATGCGACAACACTGCATGAACGAAGTGCGGGATAAGGACCACACGGCAGCATCAAAAAAAGAACTCTCCAGGCTTTGCAAAGACTAGGTCTCGGAAAGCGACGTGTGTCCGCAGCACTTTCTTGCTCTGGGGTCCGCACTTCAAAGAAAGGAAGGAACTGATAGAAGAATGAATATGTGGTCTTCACAGGCCTTTCAGAATGAATTCTGGTGTATCTGTGGTGTCTTTTTCGTCTTTCCTTGTTTGTAGCAGCTAACAAAAATCATGAAGTCCCAAAACAAAACAAGTGTCAGAAAAGCATAGACCGATCAGAACGACTTTTTTTTTTTTCTGCAATATGCATCAACCCCCGCCATTCCCGCTTGTAGGCAGGCTACATCATACGACATTTGTTTCGTACTGATAGCATGTAGCACGCTGATGCACCACAAATAAAGCCTTTAGTCTATAGCATGCGAAGTTGAATAGATTGAAGAAAACTGAAATCGCAAGGGAAACAGACGGATTGGTGAATTAAAGTGAAGCTCTCAAGGGATTATTGACAGTTTCATGGTAAAAAAAAAGTGGCGTTCAAGCAGCGAACACAAAAGTGTGAGCAGACAAGAGCGAGCTCGATGCTTCCCGTGCCGGCCCGGCAGTCCAGCCGCACTTCTGTAGGTGGCGCTGTCACGTCTGCCGCCGCTTCCCATAGTGACACTATCGTGGCGAGAAATAAGCCGAGTTCCCCCTCCTGTCTATTTTTCCTCCATGGTGTATACCCAGTAGAGTCATGTTGATATGAATGTCTTGAGGGCACACAAAACGGCTGTATTACAACAAGCGGACTTACACAAGCCAAATTATGTGCTGAAATTTAATGCGAAAGTTCAGTACTACTTAATTTTTACTTATCAGTTCTTTTTCTATCACATTATCCCTGTAAGAAAGGCACCAAAAAGTGCAGTGATATTGACACTGTGAATGAAGCCAAACGATTGTGTTTTGCTTTGACATCTGCAATGCTTAATCTATGCAGTATTAAAATGCGTTTGCTGACAGCACACTTGGCACTCCTAAAAGTAACTTCTTTAGTATGGATGGTGAAGAACACATTCAGAATCACGCAAAAGTATGGAACTTCATGGAGCCATTGTTCTTAATTCTGGCTTGAGTCCTTCGGCATTTTAGCTCTCTCTTGAGATCATGTGTATATGGCCTTTTTGTGTTGCTGCTGCTTATGCAGAGCCCCCCTCGCAAGCGGCCTGCCTCGAAGTTGCCTGCAGTCACCCCTAAGGTAGGTTGGTGTGGATGTTTTGAGGTCGCTTTTATGTTGCTTCCCTAATCTCAAACTTCTGCGTTGGAGGTCTTTTGAATGCCGTACTTGCATGCTTGGCATTCTAGCTAGCAGTGTGGGATTGTGAAGCTGATCTGGCCCTCGTCGCCCCTGCAATAAAAGGCGCTAGAGCAGGAAAGGAGGCAGGGTTATTCAGTTGGTTCATCAAGTGTAGTCAAATCTTGCATGACACTGTCACCCAGACTTTTACTGACAATACGTGAACATCAATATTGTAACGGAAGCCTGGGAGTGTGTAGAATGCAGAAGAGCAGTGGAGCCAGCGCCAAGACAGTGTGGCTAGGTGAACCTGACTGGTCTTGACAAGCAGTTGCGCTCTTTCTGCTTCTATGTCATTTCATTTCATTTGTAAATAAACCAATTTTTGCCATCACAGCTTGGTGGAGGTGCGGGGTACATTGCTCTGGAGGACTCAGCTGTATCGATTTTGTGAAGGAACAGACTCTTGGCTGGCTTGCTATTACAGGTACCAAACATGCAGAGCACAGGCAGGAGTAGAAGGGCTGAGCCATTTGTGCCACACTGCGCCAAACCGCTTCTGCTGTACCACCCTGCTTTAAAACGCATTATTACGCAGAAACTTCTCACAGGCGGTCTTTGGAGCCATCATGTACCATCGTCCGTGATGTGGCAAGGCGTATCATCATTAACATCATCACCCGACACGTTGAAACAAGCAGTCTCGCCTGAAGGACGAAGCAGTAAATGCTCTAGCAACAAATCGGAATGTTGTACATTACTGCAAGTACGTCACACCACAAAACTCTGGGATACGATCTCTGCATACTATGCGCCGCTATCAGCGGGCACATGGCAACAGACAACACCGAGTCAAGCTGTGTGGCTCTTGCATTTCCCGCTAATGCCATTTGTCACAGTGGCGATTTGGGCAATATTTGACTGCCGCACGAGAAGTTAATATCATATTTACTCGCGTAATGAACGCACTCGGGTAATAAACGCACCCCCAACTTCAGTCATTAAAATCTGTTTTTTTTTTCCCGCCGCGTAATAAAATGCACCCTCTACATTTACCCGATGCAGTCCCACTAACCGAAACCTGGCGTCTCCTCAACCATTGGATTTCTTTCATTTTTTATTACCTTGTAGACCCCCCTCAACCACCTCAGCTCGCTCCATCCTCGTCTTCGCCCTTCGCCCGCTGTTGCCCAAGCCTATTGCTTTTCTTTCTATCTGTGCGCAGCAGGTCCCCTGTCTTATCTGTGAGCCACAGCAGGGTTCACCAGGGTGGGAGTGTAGAGACATCACAGCTGGTACGCACACAGTGAGCGAAGGTCACCAAACTGCCCTCACCAGCAGACGAAGGTCGCTTCCTGCGAACCCCCTCCACCCCTTTCTTTTTTAGCCTACTTTCTTTTTTCTTCACTCTAACTGTCCCTTCGTTCCCCTGTGAGAGTATCAGTTGAGGTGTCCTCACATAAGAAACAGTTATTGTGCACTCCACACCCCTTTTTCTTACCTTTCCACCTCTTTCTAAAAAAATCACCCCCCCACCCCCCCAAAGAAAAAAAAATCGCAACCACGTGCACGCAATTTTCGCGCGACAACAGCAGTATTTGCTGTCGCGAAGGGTCATTCGTCGCTATCACGTCACTATTACGTCGCTGGTTTCTGGAAAACGAGAAAAAATCGCTTGTCGTCTAGAGAAGATGGTGACGATTTCTGCAACATGGTAGCAGCCCCGATTCTTGCTTCGCTTGTTATCTAGGCATACAGGCACTTCTCATGTAGGTGTGAGCTGGTGGCCATATTTTGTCGTTAATCTTGTTGTCAACAGTTCGTTTTGATGCTTCGGGGGTAGCTTGCTGCTATGTTGGTTACTTGCTACCACGACCTTGTGCTTGCTACAATGTTAACGGCGTCGTCACGGTCGTCGCACGAGGTTGCCGGGAAGTTGGGAAAGTGCGTCGTAGCGTCATAGCGCACGCACGTTTTTGGGCACCCCTCGAGATCACAGCGGATACCAGTGTTGTAGTTAAACGGTTGCCAGAAAAAATAGCCGCAAATCGTTTTCATGGCGTGCACGGGCGGCCCGGGGACAGCTTGCTGAAGATAGCGCCATCAACCACCGAAGATGCGTAAAGTGCAACAAAGAAGCTGTTTCCAAAAATTGTGCGTGTATGAAAAAAATTGCAAAAGGCTAAGCGACCTAACTTTACCGCATTTTTCGCTCCTCCCGAAAAAGTTTTTAAAAAATTTACCCCGCGTAATAAACGCACCCCATAACTTTGCTCTGATTTTTTGAGAAAAAAAGTGTGTTCATTACGCGAGTAAATACGGTATACATGAGATAAAAAGGGCCAAAAGCAGGGACGTACTCTTTGCCAACGGAGATCACAAACTCGTGCAACTGCACGAGAGAGCTGTCAAAAAAGCGGGGTACATGGCTCATCCGTGCATGAAGAGGATGTATCTCAAGACTGAACAACGTACGTTGCTTCATAACTGGCAAGTTTAGGTTTGTAAACTTCATGCGATGTTGTGTCGCCCATTACGTGGGACACCATGGACGGAGTTTCCCTTTAAATGCTGCTGGCTGCGTAATGTCCTGAACGATTCTCCTTCATCATATGTGCAATGCAAACGATCAAAACACGTACTCTACGCCAAACGATCGGCCACATGCATGTGTCTGTCACTGAGATGTATGTGCTCCGTGTGCTCAGTAATGTTGGACGGAAGATAGGGATTCGGAGTGGGAGGCAGGAGCTATCGTTTCCTCCCCCCCAAAGCACCCTCTCTTAAGTTCTTATCGTCCACCTTCTCTGATGAATTAGGACAAATAAGAGGTACCACTGTGATCAGGCATTAACAGTATTCATGCTCTAATAGAGTGCTTGTGCTACTAAAAACGAAGTAGTCAGGACCCCATCCCCCCTCTTTGCTGTTACTTCAGGTGACCGCCCTCCCTAAAATGAGTGGCTGGATCTTCTCATGTATACAAAGTGAGGCTATCAGCTAACTCTTTTGGATCCAATCTTGTGTAATTCGATCTTCAAAACGCTGGGGCTACATGGGATTGTGGCGGCTCCATGAAGCAAAGCAGTTTCCTGATATTTGCCTAGAAAGCAGGCGCGTTAGCGCCAGTGACCGCACCGTTTGGTCGAAGTGTCAGAATTTAATTCCAAAATGTTTTGCTGTGGTGGGATCAAGACCAGGACTGTACAATAAAAGGTTATCTCAAGCAAAATTAGGTCTCATTGCATCACTGATAAGTGACAGCACCACGGTTAGACATTTAACAATGCAAAACTTTGTTTATCACCGAGCCGCTAAAATGCTGCATTCACACATTTAATACAGTTAAACCTGGATATAACGAAATTGATAAATTCTCGCAAAAATTTGTTAGAAAGAGTATTTCGTTATATGCAGGTTCACTACGAAAATTCGGAAAAGAAACACGCAAATTAAACTAAAGGGGTACTGAAGGCAGGGCTAACCCAAAGCACTTACTTTACAGTAAAAAACTGCAATAATATTGTGATAGCAATTATATGGACACTCTCAGCAGGTTTTTGCTGTCGCCGCCATGTTTCGTAACAAGTTCAAATCGACAACACGCCCTCATGCATCGGAACTTTCACGAGCGGGTAAAAGCGCGCGAGCGCTGCTGAAGCAGAGATCAAATGAGTCGGCCAGTCCTTACCGACTGGAAGGTGCATAACATCTCTCGCGTGTTAGAACTGCCATCGAATGCTCAAACAGAAAGTAAACCACCTGTCTTAAACGAGAATAAAGATCGCGGGGGGGGGGGGGGGGGCAGATCGCTCGAGTAGCAATAATGAACTTGGATTTTATGGGTGGTCGCGATCGCTGCACGCTTGCTATCTCGGCGAGTATCAGTGCGGTTTCAACGCGAAGGGACTGTGTGAAAAGAGCGAAGTGATCTTTGTGCGCCCAGTTCCGATCAGTCAAAAACGTGCGATTCTTCCACCCCCCCCCCCACCCCCTTTCGAACGATAAGCACCCGAACGCGGGTGTTTTTTTTTCTTTTTTGAGTTTTCACACACACACACACACACACACACACACACACACACACACACACACACACACACATATATATATATATATATATACACATACATATTGAGTGAATGAAGGCGGCGGCGGCAAAAAAAAAAAAAAAGAAACGGCCAAGACTGTCTATATACATAATTGCTATCACAAAAAAAAAAAAGCTGAACGCCGCAGGGCGACACACCATGCTCGCGCAGTGAAACTATGCAGGTGCGCACGGCATTGAAAACGAAATGCAAACGACACAGAGACACACAGATATGGCGGAAAATTATTAGGTAAAGCTCCCTCCACATGCAGTGCAGCCCCACATATGTGACGCTAACTAAAAGCGTGGCACTACCAACGCGCAAAAGTAGTTTTTTTTTTTTTTTTTTGAGTGGGAGGGGCGGCACAGTTGCTCATGCGACTGCGGCGGAGCGAACAGGTGCAACGCCTGCTCGTAGGGTGCAGGCCCGACTCACGCTGAAGATGCATGCTCGTAGCGAAATGCCAAAATACGGAGCAAAATTTTTAGAATGTCCGTGGGGAAAATTCGTCATATCAGGGCTGTCTCACGCAGCTGCTTTATTACATAGAGGTCGCAAATACATGTGCTTCTACGGAGCAACGGCGGGGAACAGAAAAAATTCGATATATTGAGGAATTCGTTATATGGAGGTTTGTTAAAAGCAGGTTTAACTGCACTTCTCATGTTTGTGATGACACCAAGTGCACTTTATGATGTGTTTCAACTATAAAGTGGCAACTACACCGAAATGATCATGGCGAGTGGAGGGTACGACGACGATACACAACACACTCGGCAAGTGCACGAGCTGATCTTATTGCAGTGCTTATACTGCTGAAGCAAGACCAAATGTGTCTATCATGCTACGCAAGTGTACAAGCAGTTAAGGGGACTGGGTGAGCAAGAATATTGAAAAAAACATTTCTTTCTTTACATTATATGAAATTTGCAGCCTTTTATGAACCAGAATCAGTCATTTGTTTGTACCAGTGTTTTTTTAACTCTAAAAATGACATATGTATTTCAAAACATGTGCGGTGGCCTGCCGTGCATCCATCCTTACGTGGTAAGGGATTCCTTGCAGTTCAAGGATCATAGCCATATGGAGAGGTTACAGTTTCTGAGCTGGAGTGCATTTGGCACATTCAGAAAAGAATAGGGCCAGAACTGAAAACGAAAGAAAGCTTAGACATCAAGCTTTTTGTGGCGAAATTTAAATCTGTCCGAAAGGTAGGTGCTAGCTTTCTTGATGTCTGTGCTGTTTTTTCCTGTTTTCATATGTGCCGCGCTAATACAAGCTAAGTCCACGGATAACCAACTTGCCTGAGCTACAACACTTAAACCAGGTGCTGTTTTCTTCAATGTAGAAAATTGTTGAAAAAAATGAGCACTTCTTGCAATCGAGGGAGATGTTAAATGCATTGTGGCATTGTCTACAAGTTACATCTTTCCTCCACAATGTTTACACACACAACTTTCAGTGATAGTAACACTCAAAAGGTCAATGTAAAGCAGTCCATAGCCAGTGTCGGTAAAAGTCACCTTTTTACTGTCGGTACATGCTGAGGAATGTGACAGCTTTGAATACTCCACGTTTGTGGTGGGTGCTTGTCTAACTCCTCTCGGGCAGTTGGTTTTCAATAACATTTGACACATGCCGATTGCCGCTGATGTGATGTTTTTTAAACACCTTCTTCTATCTTGGAATCTCATTAGGTTGAAGACCAAAAACAGAGCACTGTGCAAACAATGTGCGCAAAGTGCTTTTGGCTGCAGCTTAACATGGACTTGGTTTATAAAGCACACCTCAGCAGACCAAATGTTACTCCTACCATAGTTGTCAAAAAGTTAACCTTCTTCATTTTGGCACGTTTTTAGCTGCCCACATGTGAGGCGTAAGGAAGGGGGTGTGTCAGGCCTCCGCAGAGGTTTCGTAATGTCATTTTTAAACAAAAAGAACTCACACTGAAACGAAGAAATGACTGATTTTGTTTTAGAATAGGTTGCAGATTTTAAATAGCAGAAAAAAAAAATGGATTTTTTTCTTCAATATTTTCGCTTATCCTGTCCTTCTGAGCACTGCCAAAAAGTAAGTCGCTGCAGCCTCTGGTGCACTGTTGAGCAGCTGAAGAACAGGAAGTTTTTCTCACTGGGACTGCACTTTTCTGGTTCAACAACTATGAGAGTCTATTTTAGGCCCTTATACAGCGATTTAACGTAGTCATTGATCACATCTGTTGCAATGAAGCTCATGTCAGTTGCTATCTATCTCCTGGCACTCTTTGGTCATTACTGGCCCTGGTGCTTTTAAACAAAATATATTATGAGTAATATTTTCTAGCTGTACAGTCGATCCTGGATATATCAAACTTGGATATAATGAAATATTGGCTATATTGAATAATTGAGAAATCCGCTTGAATTTCTCATGCAAACTATGACCGGTGCACCCATATATTGAATTTCTGCACAGCGGGACATACAATATATTGAATTCTGCGCTGCACCCAAGCCCAGAAAGTGCATTTTTTCTAGCAAACATTGATCAATTTTCGGCCGCGTTCAAACAAGTTCAGATTCCTTCTCGCGCGCAGGTGACGAAAAGGCGATCATTACTCCACGATGCTGATCTGGTGCATTGCGCGGCGCTTGCAAGTGCACCACTATGTTTGATGCGCAATCTGCGGGTTTTAACACATGGGCGTAGTGTTTTTCAAGAAGACGAATAGCAAAGGACTCCAAAATGAGAATGCGAAGAGTCTTTGCAATCTTGTTACAATGTTTGCGTTTCTTACGTTGTTTGTTAGCGCACAGGCTTGCATGCGATGGGCATGCAAGTCTGAATAGCATGGCCTTCGAGATGTGCAACCTCGTGATGTACTTTTGGTGTTTTTGGTTTTAGAACGCATGTCTCGGAGGCTACGATTTTTCTAGCTTTTTGCATCAAAGCAGCTGAAAGAAATGGCTGCCAACTAAAAAGCCACAAGTGTCACCGATATGGCCAGATATGGACAGAGGGAACTCGGCTTTAACTCGGCGTTGTCTTTTGCGCCTTGTGTACGTCATGCCTCGTTCCTGAGAAATCCTGCTGTGTTCCTTCAGGGCTATTGCGACTGACAGTTATAGTCACGAAGTGCGTTTTAAATAAGGTATCGTTTCCTTCAATAAAAATTCAGTTGAAAATCAACACCGTCTTGTCCATGTGCACGTCCCATTTTCATCTGTGTTAATCACACGGTTGGCGAAGATGATTATGGTGACTGGTGACAATGATTATAATGATTATGGCCCTAGGCTGTGTTTCCATAGAGGGTCTGGTAGTATTTCTATTCACAGTCCCTTGAGCTGGTCTGTTTTCCATTTATGAAAATACAATGAAACTGGTGATTTGATCGCTGCTCTCACAAATTTCGGGGTGATATGAATTTTTCTGTAATCCTGGCCATAGCCCATTAGCCTGCAGTGTAATAAAGTACGATCGTTATGAACCGATTTCAGCCTTGTGATGTTTAATGTGAATGTACGCTACTCCGTGTGTACGAACAGGGGCCCATGCTGCCACATTATACCCAACAATCGTGTGCCAGTGCAGGAACCCAAGCGGGAGCATGCATGTTGTGCCATCAGTTGCCATCAGCAACACCTTGTAGCCTCCAAGATAGTGTGCGTGAATCTTTAAAGTCTTAATGCACCTTCGAGTTTCTTCGAGTTTAGATTACAGATAGCATTGACTTTGCATTTTGTTTACAAGGGCTGACCATGTCGCAGTCAGGCGTCCTATGAAAGTAGGATGAGGACTAAAAGAAGTACACAGTCTTGGCCAAGGAGCCCGGCCTCGCAACATCAACATGCATGGTTGATTGGGAAGTGAACACCTGCCATCCCACCAGCTGATGACTTCCGAATTTTCAGCAAACCTTCGCATTGTGCAAGCATGGCCGTAAATTTCCCTAAAATAATCCCTAACACCTCCATGATAAGAAACTGGAAAGAAAGGGCAGTGGTTCTAAAAGATCCTGGCCTTCATCTATCTCGTGGAATGTGCTTCTTAAGTTACTTTTGTCGCATTACATTGTTATACAAAAAAACGTGCTGAGGTTAGAAAGGCGCTCCTATCATGAGGTCACAGCCCATCTGGTTCATTCATTATGTGCACGCACTATATATTTACGAATGCAAGTACGATTGTTAATGTCTAAAAACTTCACTGTAAATCATTCAGTGATATTCATGGCATTGGTACTGCCCTGAGATAGAGTGAATGAAAATTATATACCAGGTTTTCTCTGATGCATACTAAGTTTTCATGTTTTCTGGTTATATGAATTTCGCATCATACGGATATTTTTGGTCACCTTGTGAGATCCGCATCGCCGAGGTTTCAACGCAGTTAATTCAGTGTGCTCTATTTTTGTAGGTGAAGAAACCTTCTATTGTGGCCGCTGTGACTAGTGGGACATGGGCACATCTCTCTTACGACTTCCTCAAAGAGGGCAAGCGCAGGTGAGATGCTTTGTCAATTCTTTTGTTGAAGTGGTGCAATACAAAGCAGGACAAGAGAAAGATAGATGCATGTGCCCACTGACAGCTTGAGGTTTGTTTCCTGCAGACATTTGTAGGATAAAGTACCAGCATATTAATAATAATAATAATACGTGCGAGACGTTTGCCTGCCTCTGACTGTGCTGTTTTCATGAAATGCCCTTAGCGATGAGGTTAGGAATGGATTGCTGCTTGAACAGCTGCATCATTCTTCATTTACCATGGAAGCTGCTTTGGTCGGGGAAGGCTCTTTTTACACAACATACTAATTACAGCCAACAGACATTAAATTTAATAAAAGCATGGGGGGCATTATTTGTAGTGATATTGATGTGAAGAAATAAACTTAATTTGCTGTCGGCAGGGATCAAACCTGCTATTTTCAAATAATGTGTTTTGTGACTCCCCCCATTTGCCTCTACCTTCGCTCCTGTTTTTAATTTATATTTATCATTTTTTCGTCTGTGCACTGACTTACTTATTTCTCTGTTATTGAGAGTAGCTGAAGTTCAGCTAGGCGTACGTAAGCAAAGCAGTTGCTATGCTGACGAAACCCTCTTTTTAAAATGCTTGTGTCAAACTTAACTGTAGGTCAAGCCTTCCACTTGTGTAGTTTATGGCACAGGTGGACAACATAGTAATATACCTCAATAGCAGCGTAGCAGTGCCCTCTATGCACGACGACAACTTATCTTGACATTGGAGGGAAGGCTACAGAGACGGGGCTTATGCACATTTTTGTTGCTCCACAATTAGTACAGCAGCTTGTGGCTGCAATGTTAACACGTGTAAAAGAAGGTTTAGTACACGAAAATGTGAATGGTAGAAACATTCAATGATTCAGTGTGCAATTCAGTGTCATATTACGAGTATAGCTTTATTAAACAACTTAACTGCCACGATGGTCTAGTGGCTAAGACACTTGGCTGCTGACCCGCAGGTCGCGGGATGAAATCCCTGCCGCCGCGGCCGCATTTTCAATGGTGGCGAAAATGCTTGAGTTTGCTTAGATTTAGGTGCATGTTAAAGAACACAAGATGGTTGAAATTTTTGGAGCCCTCCACTACGAGATCTCTCATAATCACATGGTGGTATTGACATTAAACCTCAATAATTATAATATTATTGTACTGAATCTGAATGAGCGGCGCTCCACTGTTGCAGAAGACGACGGCGACAATTGACGGCTGTGGTTGTCACTCGAACTCGTTGGTAGAAAAACCTGCCTCGTAAAGAGCCTTTCTCTAAGCATCTTCTCAAGCTTTCTCTCCAGTACAACACCTCCATTTCGAAAGTACGATACCCTCTCAGCTCCTGCCGTTTATCTCCTCCCCGTCACCGATCACACCCAGATGCATAGTTGCTCTAGCACTTCATGAGAGGAAAACTGACAGCCGCAGTTCCGAATGCAAGAACTGCATTATCGTTGAACAATAAAAAGTATGTGCACCTATCGACACAGGCGCCTTTGTTTTCGTAACTAGTGAAAAGCTGTGCCATAATTAGTGAAAAACTGTGCCACAATTCGAGAAAAGTCGCAATGCTGCTTATAAATCTTGCTCTGTGAATAGCGACCTCGCATTACATGCAGCTATGACTCAGTGCACAGCTCGTGTCATTATTCCAGATGTTTTTTATGCCATCAAGTTTATCGTCCTTCCCCGCTCATTCTATGACGTCATACTAGGATGGGGTTTCCTTTCTACTTATCAAGCCGCCGACGACTGCACTCGCACTGAACACGAATTGACGACCCCAAGCCCTGACCTTGACGACAGCAGTCCCCCAAAAGTGTTTGCCGCAGCTGACGTCCACATCACGCCTTTGTCTTTTGTCCTAGTTCCTGTGTTTCCGCCTGCTGCCGCTAATTCAACTCTGTTGTTTCAACCATCCATAGCTAGTGCGTGCCACCAAAACTTCGTTTTCCCGTTTGTCATCATCCACTGCTGGAATTTTTCCGTGGCACTTAACGCGTGCAATGTCTCTGCTTGCTTATATCTCCTCCTACGCGGCGAATGTCTGGAGACCTTGGAGTGCATTTCTGAAGACCCAGTGCTTCCTGACAAGGCATCACTACCGACTAGTGCCATTATGCCTGCAACTGACACCAATGTTTCTATTGACGTTTTCTGCATATCCATGAATTCCCCCCATACACCTGCACAGCGTGAACAGTTGGTCAAGCTCCTTCAGGGTTTTCGAGCGTCCTTTGACCATGACTAGACTTCGAAACGTAGAGCGTCAGCAGTTGTTCACCGTATTGATGCAGGCAAACACACACCCTTGCGACAGCGTCCATTCGTGTGTCCCCTGCCTAAAGCCGTGTCATTGACAAACAGGTCGACGACATGCTTAAACATGGCATAAACTGTCTAGCAAGCAGTTCCTGGGCTTCTCCAGTTGTGCTGGTGAAGGAAAAGGACGGATCAATCGGGTTCTGTGTGGATTACCAGCGTCTCATCCGAATTGCGCGGAAGGATGTCTATCCTCTGCTGCGCATCGAAAATGCCTTGGACTGCCTACAGGAAGCAAAATTTTTCTCGTCCTTAGATCTGCCCTCTGTGTACTGGCAGGTACCCATGGCATAGGCTGATTGGGAAAAAACAGCTTTCGTCACACCCGATGGGCTTTATGAATTCACAGTCATGCCCTTTGGCATCTGCAAAGCACCTGCTACTTTCGAGTGAATGATGGATACCATCCTCCAAGGCCTCAAGTGGAATATTTGTCTTTATTATTTAGACGACATTGTCATCCTTTCCACCGATTTCTCGATCCTTTTAACCCGCTTCGAGCAAGTTCTCACCTGTCTCTCTGCTGCTGGACTGCAACTGAACCTGAAGAAGTGCCACTTCACCTCTTGAAGACTTACGATCTTAGGCCATGTGGTTTCGAAGGACAGCGTTCTTCCCGACCCTGCCAAACATACAGCTGTTTCACTGTTTCCCAAACCAACTACCATGAAACAGCTTCGAAGTTTCATTGTCCTTGGTTCTTATTTATGACGCTTCATTTGCAATATTGTGACCATTATCGCTTCTTTGATCAGGCTCCTTGCTGCTCTAGTGATTTTTCGGCATGGCCTTCTGCCTGTGATGATGCTTCCACCGAGCTGCGCCGCCTCCTTAGGTTACCTCTTATTTTGTGGCAATATAACCCGTCTGCACCCACATATACGCTAAAGGTGTCGGGCTAGGTGCTATTCTTTTTCAGCGGAAAGATGGCTTCCAAAAGTACGTTATTGCTTGTGCAAGCCGAATTCTTAGCATTGAACAAATGAAAGATAATGTGTGAGTGTGGCTTCAATAGCTTTGTCAGCTAAAGAAAAGTATCTGGAATCTTCACTTTGACGTTGGCGAGTTCAGATTGTCGCGATCGATGATGACGCGTGCATGAGGTGTGCAGTATCTTAACATATGTTCCAGGTTTTATCGGTACACTGTTACTATATATACAGTCGACTCTCATTAATTCAAACTCGAAGGGACCCCTGGATTTTGTTTGAATTATCAGGCTGTTTGAATTATCAGAAGTTCTCATATATGCGACTCTGGGTAAGGTGACAGCACAAATTATGATCAGACATCTATATTCACACTTTTAAGCATCTCTAGATCCTAACTACACAAAAACAGAGAGCGGTGCATGTATGGTCAACAAGTTTATTGACTATCTACTGCTGACTAGACCTTTTAAAAAAATCATGGATGGTCAACTGCTTATTTGCCACATGCGCATTTAGCACAAAGCTCTCGATGCCAGTAAGTGCTGCCAGTTGATTCTGAGAGTTTTCTGTTGTCAGAAATTTTCTCACTTTAGCAATGTACTGGAAAGCTTGTGCAGTTGTCACATTTTCCACTTCCGGTTCTTCTTCACTTTCACTGCTGTGTTGTGCTGGCAGCACCTCTGCCACCAAGTCATCGAGTGTGTCCTCCCTGCACACGCACAGGTTATCATCAGTAGCTGCATAACTGTCGAGGTCGGCAGCTATGTTGTGCGCTTTGAGCAGACAGCACTTGGCTTTCATCGTCGCCCTCAGTCTGCAAGCAGTCAGATGAAGTGGCAATGCTGCAGCCAGGTATGCGGAAGGCATGCTCGAAGCAGTTCCTTATTGTTGCTGATGTGACAGCATTCCATGCGTCGGCGAGCATGCCCAACGATGAGAGTAGTGTGACACTGTAAGGCATGGAATTGTCCATACATATCAGCATTCTCTTTAGCAGTGTTTTCCGGTAATTAAGCTTCAAGCATTTGATTACCCCTTGATCCAGGGGCTGGAGGACAGCTGTAGTGTTAGGAGGCAGAAATTCAAGGCGAATTGCTTCCAGCCCCTCCACGTCGCCGTGCGCAGGGCAGTTATCAACAATGAGCAAAATTTTCCTTTTCGCTCGCTTCATTTGCCCATCCAGTTTGCGGAGCCAACCCTCAAACAAAGCTTGCGTCATCCAGGCTCGCGTGTTTCCGTCATATGCAACTGGGAGCGTTCGGACGCCTTTAAAGCACCTGGGACGCTTTGACTTGCCCACAACGAAGAGTTCTGGCTTGTGACTTCCGTCCATATTGGCGCAAACCATGACGGTTAACCGTTCTTTGCTCAGCTTTCCGCCAGTGCAACGCTCTCCCTTACGACACAAGGTTTGATCGGGCAGGCACTTAAAAAACAGCCCCATTTCGTCGGCATTATATACATCAGCCGGGGAGTATTCAAGCAGCAGGCTTTGAAGTCTAGTTTGCCGCCAGTCAGAAGAAACAGCTTCATCGACCACTGCTGCTTCACCACTCACTGTTTTGAAGGAGAGACCGTGGCGTTCCTTGAACCGAGAAATCCAGCCATCGCTGCACTTGAAATCTTCAATTCCCAAGCGCAAGGAAAGTTCTTCAGCTTTCTCTCGTAGGATTGGCCCATTTATCGGTAAATTGGAGCTCCGTGCGCGCTTGAGCCACAGAAGCACGGCGTTTTC